CAAACTGTACAAAAGAAGATTACATAAGAGATGTAAAACTGAGATTTCTTTTTTACCATCAGTCCTGCGTCACCCCTCCACATGCACAAACAAACCACAGGGGGAGGATCATCTTTGAGCCATTACACTCTGTATTATATACATGTGAGGGATGTGACCTCAGCAAAGAGAAAACTCATTCTATTTCCAGTCTTACCTTCTCCAGCTGTCATGGTGCAAAGTCTCCCTCAGAAGTGAAGCCAGGGAGGAGTGCTGCTGCTCAGCTGATCGCTCTCTCTCTCTCTCTGCCGCTCTACAGTCTGTGCCCTGTGTCTCTCGCCCACTGTTTACCTCTCAGTGCTGCAACAGAAATGGCTGCTTTGTTTTGCTCTCCGTCCCCCCTCCCTCTCATCTATCTATCCCTCTACAATCCCTCTGCTCTCTACCCTACCCCTAACGCTCCCCCTCCCTGCCTGTGTGACAGCACTACAGCGCAGCCCCCCCCCCCCCCCCCCTGCCTCCATCCTTCACATAAGAAGATCTGTACATATCAGACAAGATGAGAAAGAAATTGAGAATGTTGTATCATATATCACCTTTAGTTACCAGGGCTGTTACAAATGATTTGAAACGTAATTCAACCCATTGATATTCTAATTCTAGAATAACATCAAAAGATGCACAACTTTTGTTCCTGCATATTTATGAAGTGTTTAAAGCCGGTATTTATGCAGATTCATATAAAGATTGGGCTACATCTATATTTTTAGTATAAAACTATTTGTAGAATTAGATTCTAGTAGTGGCTACCTTGGATTGTTTACTACTTGGACTCCAAACATTTGCAATGAGTCTCGAGTCCAAAAGCAACACGGAAAACAAGCCAACACACCACAATGCTGTGTGACGGTAAGATAACTGGAGACACAGGGGAGAAGTACGAGAGACATTGATAATGTGGAGAAAATGAAAGCTGGCGACATAATCATCATGAAAAAAGCTCTGCAGTCAGATACTTTCCTATTTTCTCATGCACTAAATAACAACCCCCAAGCTGCTGCAGATCAACAGGCTGTCCTCAGGTCAGATTAGTTATAGTGAGTCCCAAAGTCAACACTTGATGGAATGGACGTAATCATTTCTAAAATTCACAACATATTTTTATCTAATAAAATATTCTGCTTAGAAGTTTCACTCTGGTCCAACTGCTCTCCTGCACACACTGACAACTTGTATTCATGGGCCCCATAATGCTCATGCTCAGGTTCATATCAGTATGTAGTGTCTCTCCTGGGACATGTTTCCATGCTTTCATGTTCTGCTGCAGCACCTCTTTTCACCCTCTGTCTGAAACCAGAGCCCAGTCTGCTCTGATTGGTTAGCTGGCCGGCTCTGTTGTGATTGGTTAACTGCTTAGAGATGTCCCGCCCCTTAGCCTCGTCACATACAATGTGTTGGAGCGCTAACCAAGCAGCGAGAGTGTTGTGATGTGTGGGAGAGAAACTCCCTCTGGAGGGAACACAGGGATTGTAGCCTTTGCAGACCATTGACATGCAAAAAAAACCTATAGGGAAACCCCAAAAAGCAGACATGGGGCTCTTTAAACTAAGACTTTTTTCATAATCATAAACTATGATGGCAAATATTCAAAGTTTCATATAATAACCTCAGTAGAAGTTGCTTTTTTACTGGGGGATAACTACTCCTCTGTCTTGGAGACACAGAGTTTACTTTAGAAATGTCTCACAGCGCAGCTACATTACAGCGGACATTCTTCTCAGCTCTGAGGCAAATGTTTTTCAATTGAAAAGAGTCGTCAGCCACAAAGCCATTATCAGAGCAGCTGTGAATGAGGAGTGGAGCCATTGAGGAGCCAAGCAGCTGAGTATGATGGATGTGATGCTCGGCTATCCAATCACTGCTAAAATGAGTCATGTTTGCCTATTCGTCCAAACAGCATTTTTACTTCAAATGTAAATAACAAGTCGAGTCATATCACCTACAAGTATTACAAGATTCCAATAGTCAATATCATAAATCAATCACTAAACGTACTCTACCCAGGAACACATTCTTGGACTTTTCTTGTAAACTCAAAGACGAAGAAAGAATAAGAAGTTTGTGAATGACAGGAAATAGTGAAAAAGGTCCATCCCTGTTTCTCAGAGTTCAAGGTGACATCTTTAAACGCCCTCTCCTGTCAGTCCACAACACACTTTAACATAAATACATGGAAAAGCAGAACATCTCCTTATTTGAGAGGCTGATAACTGCGCATTCTGACACTTCTGCATGAACAATTACTTTAATAATTCAGCGGTTGTCAAAATAGTTGGTGATTATTTTTCTGTTGATCGATTGATCACTTCAATTCTGTTCAAAATGTGTGCCACAGAAAGTCTGAAAACTTTAACAGTGAATATATCACCTGACAAGAGAGGGTCAGACAGTACTCCTGTGTCCCTGCATGTTCCTCAGTATGTGTGACTGACATGATTCATTAAGTTGTGGTGGCAGTTGAACTCCACAAACGTTGGGAGAGATAGCGTAAGGTGTTGGAAACATTGAGTGTTTTCTCCTGGGCTCAGCTGCTGCCTCTGCAAACACAGTGTGGATGCAGTCAGCAGGAATGACACAGAGTCAGCAGTAAAGGGGTCAAAGCTACTCCACCTGCAGAGGGCACAACTCTGCTGCACTCAGAAGAGGACAACACATCTGCCTCTTTATTTGAAGTTCCCATGTGTCATTTTCCTGTTTGTAAGCATTTAAAGGTGGGGTAGGTAAGTTTGAGAAACCGGCTCAAGATACACTTTTTGTTATATTCCATGGAATGCTCTTAACATCCTGATAGCAATGAATATCTTAAGTGCTTTGACAAAAAATCCATAATAAATGTCATCTGTGGAAGCCGTAGTACTGTAAAAAGCACGACCAATCATTTTAGCCGGCCCGGCTAAAATAACTGGATGGCCTACCTGCCTGTCAGCCTTCCATCTGTGCACAAACTTATCTCGTGCCCTCATTGGTCATGTGCGCGTTCGTGTGTGTTGGAGGAGGGGCTCTGTAAGGAAGTGGCAGATTTTCTCCGGTTGTGTATTTTCAAATTCTAGCGATCTCGAGCCGGTTTCTCAAACTTACCTACCCCACCTTTAAGTATCTCACTGCTAGGGCACAACAGGCACAGGCTGTGATATCCATCTTACATACTCAATACTGTGGGCAATCCCCACAGGAGCAATTTGGGGTGAAGTGTCTTGCCCAGGGACACAACGACATGCTGACTGCAGTGGGGTTTGAACCTGTGACCCCCTGATGGCACAACAACTGTCAGTTTGCTGTTTAATTCTGCATTTTCAATTGTTTCCTGAAAAAAACGTTAAGCTTGATAGGGCTTTGGCGAATATTGATCGCAGTTTACATTAGCCAATAGTGCTGAACGTGAGTTATTCCTGCCAGGTCTTAGTGGGTGTTTCTCAATGTCGAGTATGCTTGCTTGGTAGCACATGTCTTCCGAGCTTCTTGCTTCAGAAGCGAGGCAAGAATACTTCCTGGCATTCGGAAAACGAAGAGTGGAATAGGCGAGCAAGTGTGCAGGTGTGCGCCTTACATTTTCCGCCACAGATTTGGGGAAATTGGTCCGTGCGCAAAGCATTGTGGGGATTTTAAGGCAGCGGAGTCTACACATGTGCAACCTCGAAATTTCTCGCTACGAAGTACGCCGGCCTCGGTAGAATTCCAAGTATGCTGGACATTGGAACAGTCCTTCGGCGGCACTCGATGACGTAGTATGCTTGAAATAGTGGCTCTGGAGCAGCCTTCCTCGACATTGAGAAACACCCAGTAGCTCTTGCTTAACAAGGAGTACAGTCTGCTCCCAGTAGGGGCCATGCCAGCGGATTGTGCCAACTCATCGGACAGGGTTGGAATGGAGGATGAAGGCCACCCTGAAGAAGATGTTTTTAGAGTGAAGCTGTACGAATACAAGCTACAATACGAAGCAGGCAATGCTGCTGGTGAAGGAGAGTCGCATGGGGGGAACTGGTCCCGAAGGTTTAACTGGGTGATAAATGAGTATACAAATATGAGTCATCAACAATTGTTACCCGAAAAACAAGAATATGCACTAAGATACTTTTTCATCATTGTTAGGCCAAGACATATGTTTTAGAGGAAATCAAAACATTACATCTATTTTGATTTCATGGGAAATTGTAATGTTCCCTTTAATGTTTCTGCTTTGTCTATTTTGGTATATTGATACATTTGGGAGGGATGCCTCTGGACGCGTGGTTTGGTCTTTAGCTCCACAGAGGGACATCTGAAGCTCTAGTGTGAGCCCACCTCCTGTGGAGACATCTCATCTCTAGCTGCAGGCTGTCCGTCTGCTCTGTAAAACCCTGTCTTCCTCCCCACACAGCAAGACACACACACACACAACACGGAAAACAAGCCAACACACCACAATGCTGTGTGACGGTAAGATAACTGGAGACACAGGGGAGAAGTACGAGAGACATTGATAATGTGGAGAAAATGAAAGCTGGCGACTTAACTCATCATGAAAAAAGCTCTGCAGTCAGATACTTTCCTATTTTCTAATTTTTTTTTATTTAGCCTTTATTTATACAGGTGTAAAATCTCATTGAGACACAAGGTCTCATTTGCAAGAGAGACCTGTCTCATGCACTAAATAACAACCCCCAAGCTGCTGCAGATCAACAGGCTGTCCTCAGGTCAGATTAGTTATAGTGAGACTACAATAGCCCTGATATTCACTGTGCATCTTTTCCATTTCCCACAGTGCTGGGTGTCAGCAGGGAGGAAAGTCACATTCATAATGATGCTAGCACAGAGAGGATAGAGCACCAGCTTATCTTATCTCTTATCTTATAAAAACATTCCACAGTCCAGAAAACATTTCTACACATTAAACTGTAGGTATACGTTATTGTTGGAGGCATATTAAAAGGCCCAAGAGCAGCACACCTAGGCAAATGAAACGCAAGAGGAGAACAACTGACCTGAGACGGACGATGGCATCATGTTCCCGGATCTTTGGACTTCATCAAATTTGCTGAAGATTACATTCAACCTGGAAAAAAAGAGGTAGGGATAAGTATGTAAAGATGATACAAAATAAAAGGAGAGTAAATACAAAGTGTCAGAAGTTTGAAGCAGAGAGAATGATGGTTTGTGGAAAAGGACCGTGCCCTGCACCATCCATCACTTCCTATGTGAGAAGTCCCCCCCACCCCTTTGTGCAGCAGGGAGGGACAGGACCGAAATAGACGGTGTACAAAGCTGCCACACACATGACAAATGGGGGGGGGGGTTTGCTGGTGGAATGCATGTCGTCCAGTGTTGGAAAAAAGAGGACGAGGAAGACAATAAGATAACAGAAATAATACAATAATATAATAAAAGTCTCTTCATATGCTTAAAGTGCACCTATCATGCTATTTTTAGGCAATAGCATAGGTCTCAGATATATACAAATATATAAAAAACATGTCTAAGTGTTTTGCTCAAAATACCAAACAGATCACCCATTCTAGCCATGCCTCATATCCCTCTATTTCACTTCCTGTTTCAAAAGTGCTGATTCTAGGTATAAAGCTTTAAAAAAAAAAAAATGTGATAAAAAAAAAGGAGGGGGCTGAGCTCATGCGGGACCCGGTAGCTACTGTCTAAATAAATACTGCGGTGATGAAACGCCATATCATGGATTATCAAGGATTATTTCTGAAACAGTATGGAGCTCAGAGGCTTTCTCTCTTGCCGGTTATACCACAAGGTGAGTTCCTTTTTATTTCCTGCTTCTTCACACACATGCTCTCCAGTACAGGTTAGCTCTGAGTGTTAGCGATGCTAATGTAAACACTGACCATATTACGTCCAAAACAGTCGGGCATTGTTTCTGATAGCAACTTTCTGATAGTGCCGTGGGTCCACATTTCCGATATTACGTCATATCGGACGCAAATCTGGATCAGCTCCGTTGTAGCCCCGTTTTTAGAGATTTGGGTACGGAGGAAAAGAGAGAGGGTTTTATTTTCTGACGCTGCGTGAGTTCCCTGATACACCGGGGACACATCTTTATGTATAAAAGACATCAAAAAGTGCATTTTGCATGATAGGTCCCCTTTAAGAGAAGTCAGATTCAGTGGCTGGAGTGTTATGCCAAGGGTAGGTTTCAAATATATCAAACACAAGGCATTTAACAAGGTTAGCTAGGGTAGTTAGAGATAGGAATCTAGATCAGTGGTTCTTAACTGGTGGGTCGCGACCCAAAAGTGGGTCGCAGTGTGTTTTGAAGAAACACTGCAATAATAACATATATTTAATCAAATCTGTGACAAAGCACAGTTAAGGGGAGTTTAAGGAAGCAGACAGGAAACCAGCCGGAAGGTAAGTACTGATGTGAAATTAGGTCAGCATCAAATCCATTTTAGACATTTTGAAAAATTGATTTCAGTCTTAGTGCACACTATAATTACAACTTGACTTTGCTGTCAGACAGCATCTCTGACAGGGAACTGACACCGCTAGACGTCTCTGCTCTCAGAAACCACCAGACTCCATTGATAAAAACACACTTTGGAGGTAACCACATTCCCACAATAACACAAACAGACTAACAGCACAACACAACACAATTGTTTTAGGTGACCACAATACGTTTTGTTGCTGCCCCGTCCACAGCAGTACATAACCTAGCTTCCTGCTGGTACTCCTGTCTGTTCCTACTGCTGCATCTACTGTAGAATACACTGACTCTGGATAGGTAACCAATACAACCGCACATTAAACATCCAAATTATCCATTTAGGATATAAGCGTACAAAAGGTTTTTTTTTTAAATGTTCTTATATATATATATATATATATAACTTGTAAGAGACTGCATTTGTGAAAGATGGATGAACCTAATACAATAAAGACGTGGTGTAAATCTTCCCACGTATCAGTGTTCTCACTGCAATGCTGCAATGCCTAATTCTGCCACTAGTGGGGGTGCTACAGGTCTGGAGCCTGCTACCTTTGTGTCCACAGAGCCTTTATGTGTATTTGGAAGAATAAGTGAGTATGGTAGGAGGTCAAGCAGAAAAGAAGAAGAAGAGGATGGAGGGAGGGAGGGAGGGTCAGCGTTCTGTGGTCGTACCGTGACTGTGGCAGGCCCTTTTTGCTGAGATCCATCCTCACCCTCTCCCCCACATGTCTGTAGATCTCCACCAAGCAGCTCATCGCTCCGTCACGCACCTGAAACATGTGAAATCATTACCAACTGTTTCTTTGATTTGCACCTGGGTCGTTGTACAATATACAAATATACAATTTGACTACGGTGGCAAAGCAGATGGAAGAAAAGCATGACTGTGCATACCTGACTTGTGGGGTCCCCCAACAGGTTACATATGTGGGGAACAATTTTACTCAGGGTCAGGCCTTGAGCTCCATGTCTGGAAGAAAATAAGTATATCAATCAGCCCAATGAACAGATACAAGGAGATATACAGCACCTACGGGACAGGGTAGTGACAGGAAGCTGAACAACATCAGTCATTTTTTTTTTTTTTAAAGGCAGTTTTGAACTAAGATGTCTGCCTAGCTAAAGATATTGTATTTCATAAACTGCATGTATCCATTCTAATTTGCAAGAATGGAAAGATGTGTATCATCCACATGACAACACTATGAAACTAGGGCCCCGCTCACACGGGACCGTTTGCGTTTATGCACAGTATGCGTATTCAAAAAAGTCTTCCGTTCACATGCATTGGTTTCATTTAACGTGTCTGTTCAAATGAGGCCGCTGGAAACGCTGTAGTACATATGCTGGGACTGTAAGTGGCGCTGTAACTTCCGCCAAAATACACCAAAAGCCGCGAAGAAGAGCAGCCCCAGCAGCCCCGCCACAATGTTGCCATGGCTACCCTTCTGTTTAAGCCCCGCGGTGTATTTAGCAACATGTAGTTCATGTAATTCTCCATGTCCACTTGTTGCTGATGGTTGTGGTAGAGGAGCTGTAGATTTTGCACTAATATCTGTAGCATGGTCAGTAGCAGTAGCACTAGCAGTAGCTACTGACAGGTGTGTGTGGTGATTGCTGGTATTCAGCGGGATATAGTCATTTCCTCAGCATATGGATAAATGCAACGGGGAAGTAAACTGAAAGAAACCGAATCTGTGGATATTGCATCGACCGACCAAGAAGCACGTCTCCGTGGAGAGGACGCGCTCAGAAAGAGAGATATTCTCTACAAACACCGGGTGAGATGCTCCTTTGTCAATATAATGGATCAATGCATGAAATCTGACTCTGTTTATTTTGTTTAAGGAGTATATTGGGCGTTAACAATTCTGGTTTGCCTTTTATAATATTATTTCATTCAAGAACCCCTTGTGCGTTTAATTAACACAGCTATTTTTGATAGTTGCTTCAGCAGTGAGCAGGAGAGGTGGGGAGAGGCGGGGCTATCGTTATTTTTTCAGGAAATATTCGTATCGAGGTGATTACACAGACTCGGTTGACCCCCCAGAGCGTTTCGTTTGCAAATCTATCCACCTTGGGACCCGTTATCGTTTGTGGGGTCAGTTTCTATCGGCCTCGTGTAAATAATAGGGCTATACGCACGCGAAACTATGCAGATACAAGCAGTTTTCTCCTCGTGTAAACGGCGCCTAGGTCTCATCCACACGGACAGTGCACGTGCAATAAGAAAGGTGAGACTCACGTGCTCAGCGTGGCGATGAGACAAAGGCACACTCCTTCTCTGGTCCTGTTGTTCTTGTGTTTGAAGCCTCCCAGCATTCTGTCCCACACATACTATAACAACACACACAACACAATGGATTATTAGTCAGTGGATCATTGAAAATACAAACAGTAAAGGAAATGGACCAGTCCGCCATGAATGGCTATTCAAAGATATAATATATATAGATATAATCTATGTGTTGTTGTTTTTTTTAATATGGCATCAATTTTGACACGTTTTCCTCAGAAATTGGAAGTGAAACCTCAGCTCTCTTAATAATGATATAATAATCATTCATACTCTTAAGGACAAAAACTGATCGCAAACATTTTGTTGGGCAGTTTTTGTCCTCTTGGCACATCAGAGCAAGTCAATGTGAAGGGTTTCAGGTAGGGCAACAGGGAGAGTTGTGTTGGGTTCTAATATCTCAAATACAAAATAAATAAACATTGATCAGAGGTTTGAGGATTAGATTACAATACAACAGCTCAGTGGTCAATTTCATCACATCGCACAAGCACTAAGGTCGGCTCAATCAGGAAGCAGCAGCAATATATGTATATATATATATATATATATATATATATATATATATATTGCAAATCAACTTTAGTCATTGGAATGAATTCAGGCTGTCTGCTGCAATCCTAAACTCATGGATTAGAAGAGCCACTTCAGGAAGGCGTGTGTGAGTGTGTGTTGGTACCTGTGGGCTGGCAGCTTGCTCCATGATCTTTAGCAGCACTGTTTGGTCCTGTTCTCGCACTTGGTCTTTAGAATCTCCCAATCGATCGATAAGGCTGGGAAGAACTGAGGGAAAGAGCAGGAGGAAACACTGAAGAATCACACCAGACCAGGAATTAAACAAATATGTATGGGTAATCTATACTTTTGAGAGGTATTGAAATGGCTTTATGCTAACAAAGCATTCTATGTACAACCATTGTTAAAAAACAACACATTTCAAACATTAAAAAAAATCCTATGGCCAATCAATCTTTCAGGCATCCCCTCAAAACAGTCATAATAGAAGGAGGAGTTTGAATTGAGTCATTTGTTCTTATTTGAACTAAGGGCAAAAGAGGAGGGGCGGACAGTGGCCAGCAGTCACCGTGGTAGAAGAGAACTGTCCTCAAAACAAAGACAGGATCACAGCAATTATGCCTGCATTCAAATTTGAACTAAGAAGTTTGGGGGTGCACTGATCATTGATAACTGAATCTCTAGTTTACCGGAAATGTTAACTTATATTGTTAAAGAATTGTTTAGTTTAAATGAGAGACTGGTGAGATTTCACAAAAGCTCTGGAAATTGTAAAATTGCAAGAAAACGCAACATTCAAATTTACCTTGACCTTTAAACTCCATATTTCTCTTTATTTCGATTTCTTTGATTCAATGGCCGTATCTGTGGGAGGTTCTAAAAGTTCCTCTGTAGACATTTGAAGTAAGAGGCTTTAATCTATATTAACACAAATATGATATTGTGTAATGATCATTTATTACAAGATATAATATATTGAATCTTACCTGTTCCCACGTGGGACCTAAATCTCTCCTGTAACCTCGTCACTAAGGCAGATAAGAGGTCCAAGCCGAGCAGAGCCACCTGGTGGAGACACAATAGAACACATGTATACATCTAAATGCTATTTAAATTACATTTGATCAAAAATAAACCACATTTATCTCTTGAATTCCCTTTGTGTTGTTCTGAATCACACATTCATGCAATAACCATTTGCTACAGCCATGGATATCTTGTGTTGAAGGCTGTTTTGAATATGCTCTCTTGCAAAGGATTGTGGGTAACAGAATCTTTGGATGTTTCTGAGCTCCTGCTTCATTATGGATGACACTAGCCTCCTGCAACCTTCACAACATCTCATTTGGATACATTTGGGACACAATAAGTAAATAAAAGACATGTTGAGCCCGGCACCATGACTGTACACCACCTGACCAAACATTGATCTAAATGCCCTGTGCCACATTGCAGCATCCAACCTTGTCTGGGGGTGAGTGAGCTTCTCAATGAACGAATAGTGAGAGTGGCCCTGCTAACACCAGATCAGCACATAAGCATCACCTGGGCTTCGGTCCAGAACATGGTGCAATTTTTGGAAACCCTAATATTGTAAAGTAAAATCTGAAACGGTGAACATTTGAAGTGTGGCTATGCTGCCACCTAGTGTGATTAAAGTGAACTGACTAAGAGAAAGTGACACAAAGCAATCTATTCAACTCTGGTGCTGCAGATCTCATTTCTAGTGGAACTTATATACTTCAAAAGAAGTTTTCTGACAAAATATTAGGAATACTGTGAAATGCGACTTTCCCTTCATCTGGGATGAGGCGTGTGGCGCAGTGGGTTGTGCGTTTGTGTTCAGATCAGGTGGTTCAAACCCCACTGCAGTCAGCATGTCGTTGTGTCCCTGAGACACTTCACCCCAAATTGCTCCTGTGGGGATTGCCCACAGTATTGAGTATGTAAGTCGCTTTGGATAAAAGTGTCTAACAAGTGACATGTAATGTAATGTAATCAGGGTTCCTGCAGGTTTCGCCAACTCAAATTTAAGACTTTTTAAGACCTTTTTAAGACCACTTTGAATAGAATTTAAGACCTATTTCACGGCAAGAAAGTATGAAGGAAAATTGCTATGAAAGAAGAAATACGTCCCATAATTACTTACAAAGTAAATGTATTCATGTTCAACATAAGAACAATGACTGAACATAACAGCATAACAGTACAGAACTGTGTTAGTGTGTTAGACAAAAAGTGTGTATGTGTGTGTGTCTCTGTGTGTGTGTGTGTGGGCTGTGCAATTAATCGTATTTTAATCGCAATTACGAAACATAATCGATTATTTTGCTTTGCTAGGTTGTGACAGTGCACTACAACATATTTGATCTAATTAATTTTAGTCTAATTTATTTTTATTTATCATATTTATATATGTTTAGTAGCTTGTGGAAGTGCGCTCCAAAATATTTTTTGATCTTGTTTATTGGTATTTATTATTTTTGATATTATTTATTTAAATGTATCATTTATTTAATTAATTTTTTCAGTTGAATTATACGTTCAGGGTAATCAACAGTTAAAAAGATACTGTCCAAATTATTATTTGTTTTAAAGTTCAATAAATGGATGTTTTCAAAGTCAATTAATAATTGTATTTAATAATTGTGATATCAATTATTGACCAAAATAATCGTGATTATGATGTTTGCCATAATCGAGCAGCCCGTGTGTGTGTGTGTGTGTGTGTGTGTGTGTGTGTGTGTGTGTGTGTGTGTGTGTGTGTGTGTGTGTGTGTGTGTGTGTGTGTGTGTGAGAGTGTGTTTGAGAGAAACAGAGTAACAAGAGCTATATTCAGAGCTCTGCTGCCTTGGCTACAATCTTTCATCGTTGCTGTTGTATGATTGGTGTTTAGCTACGGTATTTAGCGTCTACAGCACCTCCGCTTTTAGGGTTGACGTAGACCCAAACGTTGCCCGGAGGTCCCCCGGTGTTGTTGCGGGAGCTTCTGCACTAGCTAACGCTTCACTAGCTAACGCTACATTAGCCAAACAAACACTAATTTATTTTGCAAAAGGTGCAGAGCGGGCTTCAAACACGTTCCCCTCCACTGGTTTCAACAAAGCACTAAATTCGATGTTTTCCAACCAAATACGGTTGAACTTACACTTCCCCATATTTATTTGTAAGTAGATTCTAAGATACATTAGTTTCTGACTGCCGTTAGCTGAAGCTTGGTTGCTAGGTTACTAGCTGGGTGCTCTCCGATAAGGGGCCGGGGGAAACAAAGTTAGTGTATACTGGTTCCATGTTGATTTATTTCAATACAAATGGTTGGGGGGAACTGAAAGGCTATTACCGTACTGGTTACTTTGCAGCCCGGACATTTCCCCCAAAACACATTTAGACGCTATCGCAACAGAGAAGTACCTTTCAAATCCGATCATTTTTAAGACCTTCTAAATCATATTTAAGACCTTTCTTATTTTTTTGGTCATATTTAAGACCTTTTTAAGGCCTTAAATTCAGATTATCAAATGTAAGACTTTTTAAGACCCCGCGGGAACCCTGTGTAATGTAATCTGGAAATGTTCGGTCTGCCTAATTTGTACCTCTGTGTTACAAAATTAAACAAAACATTGAGCAAGTTTTATGCTATGTGACTAATTCATTTTCTATCTCAGGTGTCAAAATAGCAGATTTACAGCATTCCAGGAGAGCCGTGTCATTCCTCGTCACAGAACGTTATTCTACTCTGAGCCAAGCCTCTCTTCTCCAGTCCATTGAGTCATTTGCATTTCAAGCTAGTACATCCTGTATTTTCCTGCTTTTCCAAATGTCCCACTAGAAGAACAGGTAGTGAGCGTCCCTGCAGGCAGAAGGCCTGGTGGTATTTACAGGCCTAATCCTCAGATCAGTCCCTTTGTTCTCCAGCTGGAGGGAATCACAGTCATTAGGTTGATGACAGGGCCCGAACAAAGAGTGGCTGAGAGCTGTGAGAGGGTTCAGCTCCGTTTAACAAGAGCGTGAATCTCCAGAAACTCACTTTTGGCGCATTTCCACTACACAGTCGGCCTCGGCCACACTCGGTACGGCTCGGTACGGCTTGGCCGCGTTGGGCCTTAACAGGGCCGACTCACTTCATGCTGCGCTTCCATTACAGTTTAGGAACTGGGGGTAGTTACTATAGTAACGCAGTGTAGGCGGAGCTGTGACGTCATCTTCAATGAGAAATCCAGAAACACAACACAGCCGTTAGCTGTTAGCACTCAGAGCTCACAGCTCCTTATATATGTTCAGAAACTCGACAAAAGTTAAACAAGTACACACCACAGACTGCCTGTGTCATGGTGAATACAGTCGCTGCTTTATTTATGTCTGTATAGGCCGTTGTTGTGAGTGTGGACGGTCGGAGCATATACTGCGTTAGCTTAGCCAATCTCCATCTAGAAAAACACGAATTTTAAAAGGTTTTTCCCCTGCCGTCTGTCTGCAGACTTGTCAAAGCATTAATTCATGGTTTTTACTAACCGGTATCAGTATGTTGTTACTTCGGCATCATTTTGAAACGTGTATTACAATTAAATCACGGTCAAATATGTCCATCTTGTTGTAGTTGTAGCCCCCTTGCCAGCGCTCCTCTCTCTAGTTTAGCATACTCAGCCCGACTCAGCCCTGTTTGTTGGCCCCGATAGAACCACAATTTTCTAGGGCCAGAAAAGAGGTGAAAAAGTGGCCCCGCGCCGTGCCGCGCCGGAACGAGGCCTAGTGGAAGCACAACCAAAAAAGGGGACGGCACGACACGGCACGCTTAAAGCGAGCTCCGCGCTGCAGTGGAACTGCGCCATTTGACTTCAAATCTAGCTCCTCTTGGGTTGGAATGAATGCAGGAGGTCTGTTTAACCTGTCTCATTGAAACAACTGAAGGTAAACACTCTTTTCCGCCTTTCTTTTCTCAACTCAGGGACCATGGCAACAACTGCACCCTGCTGTGTGTACATACACATACAGAATAGCACAGATGGCTAAACTCCCTCTTGCTGTCATCCACAACTGGACCCCCCGTAAATACACACACACACACACACACACACACACACACACACACACACACACACACACACACACACACACACACACACACACACACACACACACACACACACACACACACACACACACACACACACACACACACACACACACACACACAAAGCTCGAGACCCAAATCTCACAGACATCATCCCTTCCCAAATCCCCCGACCAACCTTTTCATTTCTACTCTTCTTATCTGTAATACTGTCTCTATGGCAGCAGCAGATCCTCACTACAAATGATATTTAAATTCCTGAACTGGATACCCTTCACCATATGAGATGAATAATGGTGCACACTAAATATGACCTGCACTGTGGCCTAGAAACAAACCTATGAGACAGGACAGGCCTGATGAAGATAAACACATCTCTTACTGCTACCAGTCTCTCTGTATGCCTCTTGTACCAACCTACAGCTTGCAGGCTTTCCATCGCCTGACCTTTTCAAAACATGGGAGGCTTTGGCACTAAGTATTTCTCTGCTTTCTTATTGTTTACATTACAGCAGGACAGAAAACATCACGCCTTCAAAAGGCAACAATAGTACAAATGTTCTCTCTTTTGCAATGTTTAATATGCAAGATGTATGCTGTGAAAAGGTACACATTGGAATGACTGATGCTGGCAATTCCATTGATTATCATATAGCCATTAGATCATTCTTAGTGTGATACAATTTAACATTCAGCCAGAACGAGGAAATGAGATGGAATAATGTCAGACTTGTTTCTCCAGCACAGCTTAGATTGGAACAGCGCTGATGGTCCTGATTGCAAAAAGAACATGACCTTAAAGTTGCAATGTATATAAGTAAGAACTTCTCCTACTTTTTTCACGATTTCTCACAGTTTAGTCCAAGTCCACCTTATGGGGGCGACTGCGGCTGCGAGGGAGTACGGTTGTCCTTCATTACATTACATTACATGTTAGACGCTTTTATCCAAAGCGACTTACATACTCAATACTGTGGACAATCCCCACAGGAGC